GGATGTGACGCTCAGTCATGGGCCACACTACATTTTGCCAACCATATTATAGAACTAGGGGAATGTCAACCTTTTCTGTTCAGCCCAGTCAGGAAACCTGACCACGACGGCCGCCATCCAAGAGCTGTCTTGCATTTGTGCAATGTCGATGTGTTGCACACCGTCGGCAGGTCATGGACTTGTTGTTCAACACCTTGTTAGATCACGCCGGCATGGCCAATCCAATTCTCAATGAAAACGACCAACTCACTGACACACTCTGGGCCACATGACAACTGACACACTCATGAGTGCCCAGTACTTCTTCAGCTCGTCACCTGCCAACGATCTCAGGCAGCCCAGCCTCCATCTCGACTTCCAGGAGGTCAACCAGCTATGGAAGTGTGCATGCACTGTGCTGAGCCCATTGTCACTGAATCAGAAGCACCTGCTGCGTGCTCGCGCCAAAGTTTGCTGCGCCAGAGATACTGTGAAGGGAGCACCTGCGTGTCGTCACTGCCATAGCTGTTTCAAAGAAATTGGGGAGTTGCAGTGCCATCCAACGGAAAGGTGGCCCTAGTGTTGACTATGCAGCTGATCAGACAAGCTGGTCTGACACAGGGGGCCTGAGCTCCATTCCTGCATTTGTGGACAAACCCCTAAAGGCACCACTGAACTGGTTCGTCATCTACAGAGTCAGCACTGTGCATCCTGCACTGTGCAGTTCCCATTTCTACGCACTGGCTGTGGATGAGACCAATCCAGGCTGCTGCTGCAATGCTACTATTCTTCATGACTCGTTGAACCCTGGTCTTTATGAGATCTGGTTCGACGGGAAACTTCTGGGGCTGACATAGCCCGGGTACTTTCTCAGAATCCAGCCCTTGGCTCAATCTCGAGCCCTTGGACCTCGTCAGCAGGGCTCTCAGTCTTTGTACGGCTTGCGCCTGTTCCTGCTCCTCTACCTCTGCATGAGATTGTGACACCTGTGTGCTTGCAACCAGCCTGCATTGATGATTCGGCCTGGGCCCGAGCACAACGTCAGTGCCTGTGCTTCTGATGCAGAGTCGTACCTGGAACTAACCGAGAAAGAAACAGAAACGTCGAGGCCGTGGGCAACCTCCCAGAAAATAGAAATCACAAAACAATGTGAACAATTTCTGTAGTCGGATGCTGGATTTTCGTTGACTCGGTTGTCAGTTGTCTTTTTTTGGCATGATGCGCTATTTTCAATTTCAATTTGTCATTTGCAATTTGATTGACGTGGCGCAAGCAAACCATCATGAGTAAGGCTATGTCGTCGTCGTCGTCGTCGTCGTCGTCGTCGTCGGTCGTGTCTTTGTTTGTTTGTATTGTATGTGTTTTTGTGTTGTTCTGTTTATTTGTTCCCCAAACAGTGTGGACATGCGTGGACACACTTAGGGGTTCTTACGGTAATGGAAAGGCAGCTGTTGTTGTTGTCGTTGTTGGTCGTGTCTTTGTTTGTTTGTATTGTATGTGTTTTTGTTTTGTTTTGTTTATTTGTTTGTGTTTTTTTGTGTGTTGTTTTGTTTTTTTGTGTGTAAGAGAACGCTTGCGAGTGTGGATTATCCTTATCCATATACGTAAAGTTATTTAAACAGATTTATTCAACATGTAACATGTAAGTATAGTTCTGTTTCTTTCAGAGAAACTGGTTTCCTCACGCCCAGAGCCCTTCCCCGGATGCGCTCGCGGAGGACTCCGCGGCGGCTTTTGCGGAGTCCATTCGTCGGCTGAAAGAGCAGGTCCGTCGGCGTGGGGGTGGGGTTGAGAGAACGCCACCGAGTTGGGTCATTTGGTGGGTTCGGGTTAGGGAACTCCGCTAGTTTGTCAAAATTTCAAGAACAGTGGGAATTTCTCAGGAGCACCGGCTAGCTCGTCTATGAGTGCTGCTTGATGAGTTGAATGAGTTGAATTTGTTCTCAAAAGGACGCTCGGAATTCGGGAACTGACGGAGGTTTGTCCGCAAAATAAGGGCACGTTGAAGTTGGCAACGTGTGTATGCTCTTGGGACGCAGGATCGATGGTTGTGCTCGGCACTTTTTCTACAGGAGGTTTGTATGGAGGTGGGGACCAGGCGTATTTGGTCCGAAGACCGTGAAGTTGCTGAAGTTGAGTTCTTGTGCGACGTCAAGATGCAGGCGAAACAATGCGTTTGTCAACTGCAGCGTTTGTGTTTTTCGTTTGTGTTTTGTGTGGGTTAGTTGCAGCTTTACTTGTTTTTTTTGTGTTTATTGTTGTTACTGGTGTTTTGGGCGGCGGTTGCAGTCTTGTTTTTTTTTCTACTGCTTTCGATGTTGTTATTTCTTAATTACATAATGGTGTCTCTTTACTGTACTGTACTGTACTTCTTGTTTTGTTTTTTTCTGAGCTTCTGTTTCCGGTCTTGACTTCCTTGTTGACCTAAACTGACCCAGACAACGAGGACGGCACGAGGACCCACACGACCCTTGGCCGATCGCAGGCGGCTGCCTTGAGGAACAGCTAGGTGCGTTGTTCGACACGCCGAGAAGCGGCGGTTCATCAGTCGCCTCGGTTCAGGGGTTGTTTGTCCCGGTAAACCTGCAACCTCATTTATGATCAATTTATCATCCGAACAGAAGTATATACATTTATAATGATGAATTTGTTTGTAACAAGGCCTGCAACCTCATCATTCGCTGGGCGCTGGGAAGGAAGGGATAGGGTAAAGTCTTCGTCTATTTTCGTCTGTACTCTTTAGATGACTTCAGCCTTCTAGGATGTCATTGATTGCCATGGATGGCAGGGGTGACTCTAGCTTCAACTACATATATAGCTTGTTGCGTACGGCTGTAACCCTGTATAAGATCTATGTACCCGCAGTGAGATGTTTTTTTTGCTGATATCAAAATCAAAACACCACAAATTGGTTTGAGAGTATGCAAGGACAATCTGGCCCACTCACAAGTCCGCTTGGACACCGTGTAGTGTAGTAAGTTACAGTAATTTCCTTTTTTGATGTGTCCAGAAAACCACACCCTTCCGCACATCCCAGCTCGTTGGAATAGATGAAAGGATGCAAATGGGAACTCTTCGAGCCACGGCCACAGATTGCCAGCCCTTTTCCACTGGACGCGCCAGGGGCGACCTGCGGATGGGGATCGGGGATGCGGCGCCGACCTGCGCGGCCAGACCCGGCGCAACCCGCGGTTCCCACGAAGGCCGCGGTGAAAAGATCCATGCAAAACGCGGTGGTTTACTTGGGAGTGGATAGAAAAAGTACCGAAGACTCGGAAGAAGGACCCAAAGTCCAAAACCAGGACCTCAGGGATGCCTAAAGGAAAAGCAGCTGTAGGGTCAGGAGGGCGATGTCATTTCTGGGAGATTCCTTCGTGCTCTTGGAGCGGGCAGACCGGGCTTGCTATTTCTTCTGCAGCATGGGCACACACTGAACTGATGACACTGGTTTTGCTGATCGAATTTCCTGCTCTGGAGATGGGAGGAACCCGGGTGGGGAAGTCTTGTCATGGTCTCTGATCCGCAATTTAAAATTGGGATGGGTCAAAGCCTGGATGGAGCCCGACCAGTCCACCATATAGCTTGACCTTCCGGGTAGGTCAACCGGTCAGTGTCTGGTGCCATGACCCACAGCCAAGTGCTGTAAAGCCTGAGACTATGATCTATATTGGACATGTGGGAGAAGGTTATGCTTCCAGTGGGTGAAGCATATATATTTTGGGGGTGTCCCATTACCTGCCACTATTTTGGGGAAAGGTCCAGGGAATGGGTATATATGTTAATTCCATTCTCCTCAGGGTCTTCAGAGAGGCTTTAACGTTAGTTAATGGTGCTGCATCGCACGTCGTGGCCCAGGAAACCTCCCCACATCAGTCGCTCAGACGTTCGGTCTCTCCAAGCACTTTCTCCTCGGATAGAGACTGACTGCAGAGTCACCTACCCCAAACACCGTTGAAACAAAGGTAGTTGAAGCCCCAGGGATAGTTCTTTTGGCCTCTTTTGGCATAGAGACCCTTACCCGCGAACTATCATCCGCAATGCACTGAACGCCGGAAACGGACGCGTCCTGTTTTCCCCGAAATGGTGGTGTTTTGTTTCCCATGTTCGGACGAGACGTGTTGTTCGGGTCGGAATCTGAGACCCTGAGCCGAGCACTGGTCCAGGTCCAACCCACACGGCGGCGAGTCCCGTGACCCGGTTCCCAGGGTCAACGTGCACTCATTGATCACTCTTTGGGCATCCATGGGCATCAAGAAACAGTTCATAGCTGTAATGTAAGCAATCTTGAAGATAAACCAGTTTGAAACGAGCAGACCAGTGTAACAGTAGACCACCGTGGCAAACAAGTTGCTAATTCAGTAGGCCAGTGTAATATGAGTTGTGTCGGTATGAAAAACGGTGCGTCGTTGAGTGTGGCTTGTTGGCAACGGCTGCTGAACCGCCGCTGCCCTTGGCCGCCCGGTTTTTTTGCTCGTCCATTCTAGGTGGTCCATTGGAAACAGCGGGATGGGTTCATGCCAGTCGTCGACCCTGTTGAGACGAGACAGACCTTGGCCAAGTTGACATCAGATTTCCAGAAGCCGACGAAAAAATGTGGCTGACCCTGTGGAAGAGTGATCTTAGCGGAAACTAATATATCTTAGAGCTGTTCAACAGAGACCACAGAAAGGAAGGTTGATTTGCACTTTCTCAGAGATTTGTTCTGGTTGGATTCAAAAATATGGTCTTAGCTAGCCTGAGCTTTGGCAAACATGAATGGCACCATGAAACCATGAAATTGCATTCATTCATACCAGACTGCATCGCAACGAGAAAGCACATACCAGACTGCTCGCCGTTGTAGACGGTCTTTTTGGGGCAAGAAGCAGCTGCCGCTACCTTCAACGAATGAGCCAACAGAGGTTGAAGGACCCCAAAAGACCTTATACATAGACTATCCTATAGTACCCCAGGTTACGGGTCCTATCAGGTACCCCAGGTTACGGGTCCTATCAGGTCACGTGACCTCTCCTGGAAATAGCTCCAAATTCACAGGGTTTGGACGGATCTCTTTTTCTTACGCTGCCCATCATGTCACGCCGCCCCATGTCACTGGAGGCGGGTAGCCCGGCGGGAAGGTGTTTAGGTGTTGTGCGGTGACGACGTGCCTCACTGGTGCGGCACGTCACGGCCCGACAGGGTAAGCAGGCTCGATCCGTCCATCCTTCAGTTCCTTGAGAGGCTCCCCGAAATAAGCACACCTGGGTGTTCGGCATTGGTCTAAGGCAGGAGTGTGAGGACGACTCATGGAGGGACTGGGCCACTCATTCCCAGACTATCCATGTATTGTATGGAATATTATGATTATTATGGACCTTATGGAATAGATTGGAATAGTATATAGTATACCTAGCACTGTTCCATACATGGATGGTTTGGGATTGATGGAGGTATCCAAAACTGAACTATCACGAACTGAACTCACTCCTCACTCCGTCCCCCATGGTAAAGGTGATTGTTTTGGGCACAACTCGCCACTGCCGAAGTCCTGGGTCAGGCTGCCAGATGAATATCAGATCAGTTTCTGTCATCTTGTGGGGTGGCTGAGAGGCAACACCAAACTCGGCCAGCCAGCTTCGGTGAACCGGTCCTTCGTCGCTCTCCCTGAGGGGTGTGGCTTGCCTCCTCCTTGGTGCCCTCAACGTCCCAGGTAGCGATGGCCATCCTGAAGCCGCCGGCCCTCGACCCGTCGGTGGAGGCGCGGTCGCGCGCCCCTCGAGCGGGCGGGACGAGCGGGCGGCCGTCGTTGGACGAAACGCATGACGCGTGGCATCGGAAGAGAGTCAGTGGTCATGTTGGTGGATGGCACAGGGATTTTTCTGACAGCTAGAAGACTCCTACTCTACCGTGCGTGAATATACCGGTAGGGTCCTATCTGACCGGTAGGGTGTTGTGATTCCTGATGGGGTCTTGCACATGAGGTGCTCAATTGGGTGCTTGGGATATGGAATTTGAGTGAGTTCAAGTCGGGGGCTTCATTTGTTGCCACCTTTGAAGCTCCCAAAAGCAAAAAGAGAACTGTTTTGCCTTGAAGCCAGTTGAATGCTCTTGGGTGCCATGATGTTATTTGCCATGGCACCTGGAGCCCCCAAACCGGTGGGCCGACCTCCCAGAGGTCGTCGATTCTGCTCATTTTGGCAGTCAACCGGTCGGTTCCTGGTTTTGACCCGCAGCCATTTCACCAACCTTATGATGCCCACACTCACAGAGGATGGAAGGGCATGCGGTAGATAGAGCACATCGCAGTTGCCTAGGATTCTGAGATTCCTTGAATCGAGTTTTGGTATTTTAAGAGCCTGGGCTTGAAATGCTTGCTTTAGGATCTTCTTTTCGACGGATCCAGTGGATCGGTTCCGGTCCTGCTCAACCACACATCCCAACTCGCATTCTCCATCTCGGAGCACCCGGGTGGCTGGAAGACCAAAACCAGTAATCTGATTGGTTGGTGCCACAAGCCCTTGGAGCCTAAACCGTGCACCATCAAGAAAGGGACCTTCATGGACCTTGCAACAAAAGGGCAACATCTCAGGTGCCATTGTTCCATCATAGCCCAGGGCGGGCCCTTGATGCCTTCCAACGCCCCAGGGCCCGGTCGCAGCTGACGAAGGAGTACCAGGTGACTGGTGGGGGAGACCCTGCAGCCCATGGAACCTGATCGAAAAAGCCACCCAGTGGATTTCGACCATGTTCCGAAGACCAACCCAGTGGCTTTTTGGGGTTCCATGTGGTCCTTTGCAGCAAATTTGTTCTTTTTCCGGAAGGAATATGAGGACATGGAGTGGGGTGGGATGAAATGGAGTGGGAGGATGGAGTGAGTTGGAGTGTAGCACCGGGCACCGACTGCTCCTACAGGCTGGGGGCGGGGATGATGGGTACCAGGAGCGACTGACCATCTGGGTGGCTGGACTACCCTGCACTAATTAGAGATCTCCTTTTATAGGACACCCATGTCCCGGATGATCCTGCGTAGGAGGTGGGAAGGCCGCTGTGGCATTTTGTTGGCCCGCCCGGCGCTTCTTCACTCCATCACTGATCCTTTGGGCCACTGCGATCATGGGCATTGACGTTCTTTCGGATCTCAGTGGCTTTTTCCGAGCGTTTTTCCAATATAATATAATAGAAACGGTGTTACCTCCTTTTCGAACGGTTTTGGAGGGGAACAACAATTGCTTCCAGAGAATGGTCGAACTTGGGGCTGGTTCGAGCATCCCAAACTCGGATGCTCCTGGATCCTCATGTGATTTCAGTCAACCCATGCACCTGAACTCCGTAAGTGTTGACAACCACCCGAAACTCCGTGGTGCTGCTACTAGAGCTTGCTGCCACCGAACCGTGCCAGCAGCCGCTTAGGCTTAGCGGTGGAATCAACCATGATGACACACATATATATATATATACCTAGAACCTGACTGACCCCTGTTTTAGAGCCAAAACAGTCTTTTTCCTAGATGAAAAGAAAGGTAAAATGAGTTCTAGGTGTATCTGTATATATATAATATAATATTACATCCTTTAGATATACCTCCATACTTATCCAATCAGCCTGTCTTGCCTACTTCTCCCATCTTATCCAAATGATCGACGAATCCCTCTTTCTGCGATCGACAACCCCTCGTGGTGCCCGACGAAGATCGGCAGGCCGCGGCGAAGGGGTCCAAGCTTCGGTCGAAGAGGCGATGATTCGGCGAGGAACAAAAATCGGTCTCCACAGCGTGAAACACTCCGAAGGCTGTTGAGAACGGTTCTTCTTTTCTTGGGGGTGGGAGAAAGCTCGCATGGTTTGACTCTGTTTCTGGATGAAACTGAGCTTGGAGGATGGCTTTGGATGGTTTTCGTGCGTTAGTTCGGGTTAGGTTATACTATAGATTGTTTTCCAACATGTTCTTGAGGCAGCTTGCATTGGTTCTAGATGCATCCTCAAAAGCAGGCTTGCAAGCCAATTATGAGGACATGCTTGTAAAAGGACATGTGTTCACGGCAAATTAAGTCAGTTGCATATTGAACTTGAGATTAATTCGATCTAAATCGGGCTAAGGACACTGATAACATGTAACTGACAGGCTTCGCCAACCGGCGATGCCCTTGGGGGGACTGCGCGTATTGGCAGGCTCTTTGCGCAGCAAAATCGACGATTAGCACAGCTTCTTACGCCTGCGCATACACACTCCCACACAGGTGTGCGCACGAGGGTCTGATATAAACAGCCTGGCAACCTCAGCTTCAGACACACGTACGCACACGCACACCCGCACCCGCACCAGCACGCAACCGCACGCACACGAACGCACACGCACTCAACCAAAAACGAACATCACATCAACAGTTTTCAGGTCCAACAAGGATCCAACATGATCAGCAACACCCGCTAGCAGCATCAAGCATCACCAACATTATCGGCTCTTGAATAGTCTCATCCGCCCAAAAGCCATCAACGTGTAGAGACTCTCGAAGCCGTCTTGCATACTCTCTCCCAGAGGTAGGTGCGTTCTGTCCAAAGGTCCCCACTTTCATTGACAACTACCCAAGAAACAAAATACACAAACTCACCTAATACATTGTAATTTACAGTGCTTAGTGCTTTGTGCGTAGCCGTAAACCAAACAAAATCCTGAAAGCGCCCTCCAAATCCCCTAAGGAAATTTTGTTTTTATGTGAACAATGCTTCTCACACTCTGGTGATGCCAATGGTGCTGCTACCTCAAAACTTCCTCTCCCTTTGCATACTTTCTTCTCTAGAGATAAAGCTTACATACTTTCTTCTCTAGAGATAAAGCTTTACAGTAGCAATTTTTGGACATTTTCCCTCTATTATTGTTGATTTTTCAAACAAATACATACGTCCTGGTGATGTTCAAAATGTCTGTTTGCGGCCTATGTCTAGCACCACCTGGGCTTATGTGGCTTCTGAAAATATATCACGAATAGAAGCGTAACATCGCAGTCAGGACTTTGTAAAGCTTATAGCTTCAAAGCCGTCTGCTCCTCGCCTAGTCATACACCAAACCAACCTCTCAAAACAGCCTCCCGAGCCCCGAAGGATTTGCATCTTTCCTGCTGAGACTCTGCTGATGATAATGATGCTCGACCAAAAACTGTCCTCAAAATTTGTCTTCCTTTTCAACGCTTTTTCTAGAGATTTTGCAGCCAAAAACCTTTACAGTAGCCTTTTTTGGTCCTCTATTTTTGACCTTTTTTGCCGAAGCCACATGAGTCCTGGTGATGCTCGAAATGTGGGTTGGCGGCATGGGGCGCGCCTCCGTATAGCAAGCTAGCTTGATAGGGTCACTGGAACTGCATCGCCGGATAGAATGGGCTAACGCCAAGGCAAAGACAGCGTTTAAGGGAAAACAAAAGAACCAAAAGGAAATGAAAAGGACCCAAAAGGAAAGCAATAGGAAGCAAAAGGATATCAAAGGAAGCAACCGGGAATGAATAGCAATGAAAAACGAAAAGGACATTGCAGCCGCTGGGGGCGTAGGACATTTCCAACTGCAGACGAATACGAATTCCGAAGACGCATTCGCCTCCGAAGACGAATTCCCCTCCGAAGACGACTTCCGAAGACGAATTCCCGAAGACGAATTCCCCCGAATTCCCCTCCGAAGACGAATTCCGAAGACGAATTCCCATATAGGCAAACGGCCTCTGGCGGAAGGGGCCATTTCTGTAGATTTACATGGTATATTTGGCCCGTTTGAACAATCTCCGGACAGCAGCTTGGTGACCTGGGCGGATGGTAGGACGGGATGGTGAGACCCGGTGGGATGACAGATCATTGACTGGGCAAAATATATTGGATTCTTGTGGCAGGTGGCGGTGCTAACTGCCCGGCAAGCCAGAGGCAGCCAAAACCACACAGTGATTGTTTGCCTTTTCCGCCGCTATCAGCTGGACAATGGCTTTCTGGCTCATTCCTGTGACCCTGGCAAATTGGCGGTGATGTTGTCAAGGGTCACGCAAGACTTGGTCGTCTTCCACGAAGCCAACCATGCGGGCCACTCACGCGCGGCTCGCTCATCCCGGTCGTCTTCAGCTGCCGCAAGCGACCCCCTGAGCCGGCTGGAGCAACATCTTTGGCATACCCGTGCAACCAGAAACCATTCATATGAGGTCCTGGATGAGACAGCAAGATGGTCTGCGGAGGACGTGCAGGCATGGGATTGGCAACAAAGCAAGCCTTGGATGCAGGCTTTGGTCGAATCAGATTCGGACGAGGAGGAGGAGCTGTCTTTCGCCGACATCTTCAAAGACGAGAGCGTGCGGGCCTTGTGCGACCGACGGGACAATGAAAGACAGATCCGCCGAGCACTTCCCCGGAGAACTATGGGGGGTCGATGGGTTTTGATACACAGCCATGCAGGCCTATGCCGTTGTCTTGCTACTTAGATACCATGCCTATCGGGCTGGAAACACTCTTCGTTCAAACGGCCCCCCGGCTCAGGGGCCAGTTTAGTGGACCAAACCCATCAAAAAGCCAGAGCTGAATATGACTTCTGGGGCATGTGGCGTCAGAGTGCGGCATCAGGGGGGAATGTGGCGTCACGGAATGTGTCGTCACATTGCGGCGTCGCCGGGTTTCGGCGTCGCCGGGGAATGTGGCGTCAGGGGGGAATGTGGCGTCAGTGTCGTCAGAATGCGGCGTCGCCGGGGAATGTGGCGTCAGGGGGGAATGTGGCGTCACGGAATGTGTCGTCAGAATGCGGCGTCACCGGGGAATGTGGCGTCAGGGGGGAATGTGGCATCACGGAATGTGTCGTCAGAATGCGGGGTCACCGGGGAATGTGGCGTCAGGAGGGAATGTGTCGTCACAATGCGGCGTCACCGGCGAATGTGGCGTCTGGGGGGAATGCGGCGTCAGGGCATGCAGCGTCAGAATGCGGGCGAATGTGGCGTCGCAATGTGTCGTCAGCGTCAGGGCCGAAAGTGCTATACACCATGTGCGGCCACCCTGGGAAAGGAACCAAAAAGGAACCAAAAGGACATCAAAGGAATGTCCAAAGGAATCAAAGGGGCATCAATAGAAATCGAAAGGAAGTCAAAAAGAAATGAAAAAGAATCAAGAGGACATCAAAAGCAATGAAAAGGACATGGATAGGGATAGACTGGAAACACAAAGGAAGCAAAAGGGAATGTTAAAGGATATGACAATGAAGCAAACGGAAGAAAGAACGAAAAGGAACGCAACAGGAATGATCAGGGATGCACGCGGAATGAAAAGGACATGAACAGGAGCGTAAAGGAACGCAGCAGGAATCAAACGAAAATGGACAGGAATAACAAAAATCAAGAGGAATCAAAAGTAAGCCAAAGGAAACGAAAAGGAAATGAAAATGAAGTGGAACTGCAATCATGCCTGGAACGCTGAGAAAGAAGTATGAGTATGGGGAAGAGCTTTTGCAAGCAGTTGTGAGCCGCCTCGTCCAAAGACACATTCAGCTGGCCTCGCTCATGTGTTAGGAGAAGAGGTGAATGTGGTGTCAGTGCATCCAGGCAACGATTTCACGAAATTGCAGGTTTGATATTTTGTGTAGACAGCGTCCCACATCGCCTCACTTTTGAGCCAGATGTAATCATGTTGCCAGAGCCAACATTGCTTGCAGCTTCAAGATTCACGGCCCGTTTTCCTGGCTTGGTGCTGGAATCGACTACGGCTTCATCTAGCTTTGGCAGCCACAAGCTTTGGTGTGCCTGTGATCTTGTTCAACCACCGATTGAAGCACCAACTGTTCCACCAAGATGGATGGCCATAGAGTTTTTCAAGCCGCGACGGCGCCCATGTTCTCTCCAACTCTGCGAACAATCCGCAAGGTGGTGTTGAGGACATCGGGCCAAAGTATGAATCATACAATTGGTGTGGCTAGGCCTTGGTGGCCCGGCATACCATCCTTGGCCAAAGAAGAAGCTGCAGAGTTCAAACTGGGCATGGCTGCCTCTATAAGGCCGCGCCTGGCAAGGACGGCATCTACTCCACTCAGCGCTTGGATGAGGGACACCAGCGCGGGCGAGGGGACGCATACATTTGTCCCGTTAAGGCTCTTGCCATGTGCCCAAGCGCATTTAAGCTGACCATGTGGAGGCAGATCTTGAGCCAAAACAGCTGCAAATCTAGCCGCTCGAAAAAAACGTCGCGGAAGCCACCCAACCATCACAAACCCAGACCACAGCCCATTTTCAAAGGGCGCCAGCCCACCATCTGAGTGAAACTGCCACATTCCACCTCCACCTCATGGCGGTTTGCATGGGCATGTGGACAGGGTGCGTGGCCGCTGCGACTTGCTAGACTTTGCCCATCATATCCGACTGGCCCAAGCTTCCAGCATATAGAAAAGCACTGTCTACATATGCGCCTTTCCGGCTCTACTCGCTGGACCCTGCTGCCTCCAAGGTCTTTGGCAAGCATTTCGACCATCATGTGACACAGCAAAAGGAGGCTCAATTGAACAATCAAGACGATGCAAAGTTTCGTGGCAAGACCAAGACGAAACATTGGGGTCTAGCCTTGGCACTTCATCTCTATGAGCAAACTCGCTTGAAGCGGACTATCAAGAATTGGTCCCTGATTCTGCCCTCAACCCCGCTCGTGGTAGCTGACAAGGTAGGTGAGTACCTCGATCTGGTGGCTGCGCGCCTGGCTGATTTGTTTGCGCTAGTGCTTGCTGACAGTACTGCAAAACCTTCACTGGCACGACGCGTTTTTTAAGTACCATTGAGTTGTTTATGGTACCGAAAGTCCCGTTAGCCACTTGTGTGTCCCATTAGACCGTCCTGGCAAACGGTTTGTCCTGCAATCAGCTCTGGCAGCAGATCCAGGCGTGGTCAACGTTGCTGATGCTCAATTGAATGAGGTGATCAGTGTTCGCTCTAGGCCACTTGAAGAAGGTGGGCAGGGCGCAGATGTGGATGTTCTGAGGAGGATAGTTGAAATGGACAGAGAATCATCCAAAGGATACGACGTGGCCTGTTGTTGCATCCAACTGCTCCTACGGAGGTGTACCAACCAACAGCATGCACCTGGTCATTCCCACTCTGTCAGGAGGTGATCCCTACTTGGTACCCGATTACCTCAGAGTGGAGCATGGCCGTCTGAAGGTAAAGCTTGCAAATGGTGTTTCCTCCAAAAAGTTGGACATGGAACAGAATCAGGCTGTACCTGTGAATGCAGATGCTGATCCCTCTAGTTAATGTCTGGTGGCATGTCCACATTTCAGCGACAGCGAGAGGCGTATGGAGTCGTCGCTTTGGGTGAAGTATTGCGGAGCGGTGCTACCACGCGAGTGGATAACAAGGTGGCTCAGCGTCGTGGAGCAGAGGAAAAGTTCACTATCAACACTCCGGCCTCCGGCTCTTGCGAAGAAGTTGGGCAGGCTGGGAGAACAGATCCGGATCACTGAAGCCGCCACCACAGTTGTTCCCGCAGAAGTGTGCTGATTTGGCTTGGCAACAAGCGAAGATGCTTGACATCATTGCCACGGCGTCAAGCCTCAGATGTGACAGACAGAATCCTGCAGGATCCCTAGTGAACAGCAGAAAGAGAGAATTGATCACGCTGCAAACTTGGCAGGTGAGCGCTTTGTTGATGACCCTGACGAACGTGCGAAGGCTGAACGAGCCCCTCGTTGTGCTGAAGCAGAGCAAGTGGCAGTGGAAAGCTGTGGCATCAGCTCCTGCTGCAAATCAATCATGAGACCTGCGGCAGTCGCAGTGGCGGACGTAGAAAGTCCTCCAGTGAATTGTAAGGTAGTCGAAGTCACAATGTGCGTAGTTCACTCAAGAACACACATCATTTGCTCGCTCTTCCAGAATTTGACGCAACCTGCATGGTCAGCATGTCCTATCTCGAAGCAGCTCCGAAGGCCCCCTAGCGTGGACATGCCCTGTCCTACCTGGCCACACAGCTCTTTCCATGGCTTTGGCTGCTGACGTGGCTGGACGAGCGCGGCTGGCTGGAAGTTTCTCGCCACTCGACCACCTGGCGGAGTTTGCTCGAGCTCTCCGGTCCCAAGTCCGGACGTGAGCTACTGTGCCTTGGAAGTACATTTTTGGGCTCCAGGCTCATGAGACGTGAGGATTCCTCCTGTCCCACGGCAGGGGGGAGAGGAGACGGGTTTGTTCCACCCCAAATGAGTTTCCTCCGAAAGATACGCGGGTTAGGGCACTATGAAGGCCCCAGCTTCGCTCAGAACGGAGCGCCAAGCGGATCTACAGGAGAGCACACCGGATGCACCACCTACAAGGCTGTCCATGACCTGTTCATCATGACCTTTGGGTGCTCGCGGTCTCCTATGCCTACACGACTGAAGCTGGCAAAGGGCCCATGTCTTGGAATGCTGGTGGCCTGACAAGTGCAACCTGGCAGGAATTAATGCAATATGTCACCCACCACAACATAGATATAGTGTACAAACGGCTACTGGGTGTTGTCAGCTGGAGTTGAGGACAAACGCGACCACAGGGGTCTCCTTATCACGATGATCAGTCATCGTCTATGCTCGAGCCAGGACATCTCCAGCAATCGAGTCCTTCAATTCGCAGTCTTTGCCGCTGCCTTCCTTGATGCCCAACGCACCTGGCTGATCCTAGCTGTGTGTCCCGCCTTCGGAAAACATTAGCCACCCCTTGGGAGAGTCGATTCGGATTTTCGCGGCCGTGCCGCGCCATGAACGGCACCAGACCCATGTACATGCTGCCCGAGATGATGGGTGGGTGCAAATTTCTGGTGACCACGCAGGCTCACCAGCTCCTATTGGATCCACCAGCTGTGGGTCTTGAGGCCGAACAAACAACTCGCGCTCGAGATCGAAGGCTCCAGAGGCCTGGAAGGCACCGTTCGCCAAGCCCTTCCCCCATCTATTTCGGGGGGCCAGACGGCAGCTTCGAAACCCAGTAAAACAAGGTTGGCGAGGCCACGGCGTGAAGCATAGGCAGAGTCCACCTGGGAGTTGGCAGGGCCACGGGCCACAGGCAACCGCTCAGGCTGCGCTCTCTCAGGCGCCGCCCTGCCTGTAGGCGTCAGCTAGGGTCGGCGGAGTATAGTTTTAATACTCTTCGGTTTCTATAGGTATACTATGCCACAAAATGATCTCTCTTGAAATGATCGTCATGGGCATGGCTCTTCCAGTGTAGAACAACAACCACAAGAACTCTCAACAAAACATATCAAAAATATGTTTGTTTGTTGCTTGTCCCGAACATTCTTGTTTGATTTTTCTCTCCATGAGCTCTTTGTCCAAGGCACCAGCGCCGCGCCCTGCACGGCCCGGAGCAATTCCGGACCGATTAATGCGGTCCAGGGGGATCGGAGCCTAATTTATATTCATTGGGAGTCATAAAGTATAAAAAAGAATTGACTGGGAAACCTGATCTCGGGAACTTCCTTGACTTCAGTCTTCAGTTTGGTGAAAATATCGTCTTCATTGGACTTCTAGCCAAGGTCACCTATTGGATCCTATCGGAATGAAGACATGAGGTGACATTTACATCCAAACTGGCAAGTTGACCTTTTCGAGTTGCGCGGTTCGCGCCGAACTCTTCAGCCCGCTTGAGCAAGCGAAGGGTGCGAGCCCGCTTCCACGGAGCCGGAACTCGGAGCTCGGAGCTCGTTCCCCAACCCCGAGGAGGCTAGCGAATCACAAGTCTTTGTCGCCAAAAGTGAAAGATAGGACATTGGGTAAGTGATAAGTAACTTTTGTGGCTCTTCCCAAAACTTGGTCACAATGTACCCCATTCAGTACCCCACCCCTCGGAACGGTTTTGGCAGTGAAGTATGTGAAATGTCCTTTGGAAAAGGGGCGCTGCTGAATTGTTCGTCAAATTCTTGTTTGAAGACATAGGACCTCCTTCCAGAATGTTTTCATCAGAGTTTTGAGTTCAATGTAATTATCAATCTGAGATCTTCCATTGCTACATCTGCGGAATCATCTGATGACCGCAGGGAGGTGCCCTTCGGCAGTCATTGCGAGTTGATGACATTGAAGATGCGCAACTTGAGGTGATATAGAAATCATGGAATCACCAGCGCTGAGACATCAGAGAGTACACCAGCACCTGCAGGGCTTACTCTCTTACGCTGTGGAATGAAGTATTCTGTCGCTTTCGTGAAAAAAACTGTACTTCTCAAATCAAATATTGACCTTGGCTGCCATTACAACCACTTGAACACTCTTGCAGGATGTACAGGAGCTTCTGGAGGACGGGGAACTTCAATCTTCAGCCCGCTTCTTCCGGCGAGAGGATTGCAGTCTCGGGGCCGGGGCATCGAAATTGCAGTCTCTGGTGAAATGCGGAGGGCGGCCCCAAGAAAATCTCCAAATGATAGGGTCGTCTACCTCATCTACACCGAAATGGTCTTTGATGCGATCTACTGAAATTAGTATTATTGCGTTCCCAAAACACTCTTGCGATGTAATGGGGAGTGGCAATCTGAGTGAATTTATAAGTGTAGATCCATGGTGAGTGGATTCAACCATATAATATTAATACCCCTTGATTCAGTCCCAAAAGAACCTGTCTATCTCTGCCTTTACCCTGTAACCCTCCATCGGCGTTACTCAGCTTCGGTCCTCCACACAGCTGAGCAGACGAGCCGGCGGAGCAGGACTCAGAGACCCCAACGGACCACAGGCGCGGGGCAATCCCGCGCGGACCGGTGGACCGAGGTCGGGCAGAACAGATCGGTGCTCCCAAAAGGGGGAGAATTCGCCTGCATACCAGATGCAAAGAGAATTCAAACATCCAATTGGAGATAATACCTAGAGGCTTCCCATAGGGTCCAGGTATGTCCAGGTACCTCCTTTTCGATTGGTTTTTGGAGGTGAGCATGCTTCCAGACAAAGGTCGAAGTGGGGCCAAAGGACATAGTTCTAGTACGACTTTTGACCTCCATGGTAACCCAGGTTTAACTGACTAAAGCCATAGACCGGAATCGAAACCCTGGAGACCCGGAAGATGGTGGAATCTGGGATTCAATGGCCATGATAAGGCCCAGAAGAGCCAAGGAACGAACACATCGGAAGTGGAGGATGGCATGGCCCTGGTCTTCCGACGGGCCATGCCATGCACTTCCATGTGAGTGAGTTTGATAGGTTCTGAATTGGTTTGACCATGTTTGACCCATTCAGGTCAGTTGGTTTTGGTTTTCAGGTCGGTTTCTTCTCCAGCGTTTGAACACTTGGAAAGTGAGGTTGACAAGAACGTTCTGTCCATGAACAGAAGCAGAATGAGTAATCGAAGTCCATGAATTAAGCTATATACATATTTTATACAATATAATTGGTTCTGCAGCTGTAGCCTAACCTTCCAGGGTTCAACTTCCTGATGATCTGACTGAGGCAACATTCTACTTGACGTCAGCACTATGGACGCAGTGATCTTTCCTGTGACAAACAATTACCTAGTTACCTAGGCTTCACACCTGTAGCAAGCATGCGACTTTAGGTTTGCAGGAGATGTCTTTTTCCAGGGACTTTGCATTGGATCAGTTGATATGATATATGTTAGAATTAAGTATTATTTATACAGTTATATATTATATATATAGAGTTGCTCATGACTTTCATGGTGTCATTTGATGTTGCTTCAACGATAAGCTGAACATCAGGGCCAAACCATTCAAAGAAGGAGGTCACCAGCTTACTTTGATGGCTATACATGGCAATACATGGCTATTTACATCTCAGAATCGCGGATCCCCTCATGGCCCAATACATAGTGGCAGGTGAAAGACCCAGTGGTTGTGCTTGGGGTCCCCTCACACATCTAGACACTGAACTTGAACATTGAAATCCAAGAAGTTTATTCATATAGAGCCTACGGTTGAATGAAGAGAGACACAATCATTGCACCCAGCTGGAACCAAAAGCACAAACTATGTCATTATGAATCCCGAATACACTTGTTTTCCCAGCCCTTCACCTGGAACCGCTTGTTTTTCTAGATGAGCTCCGTCCTCAAGTCAGATCTTGAGGGGCAGATTGTCGGTCTGACGGTGATAGCCTTGGTTGTTATATAGCTGCTCCAGTCTGAAGTGTATTTCGTTCTCCCAATCAAACATGCACATCTCCAGGGTCAGAGTTTGAGGATGAGATGGCTGGGTTCCGTTTGCGAGAGATGGACATTTCTGGGTTCCTGTCCTGACCTCATTGAAAGTGCCCTTTCATGTATTTTGGTTCACATGTAAATATTTATGGTCTATCCCAGTCGGGTTAGGGATAAACACGTCATGCACCAAATCCACCGAGACCCAAACAGTCACATTGGATGAATCCCACACCCGTCAACCTTGGAACTGCCCCCTTTTTGCGCCTGTGAGGCCTATGATGCTCTTGTTGGCCATGGTGGTGCTGAGGCCATCTCGGCTTTCGATGCGTGAGTCTACACGAACAAAGTCATGAACATGGAAGTGGACAGCCAGCAGTGATGCCCTTGTTACGTTCGTAGTAAATGCCACTTGTTACTAGTGTTGTTACTAACATTTGCCTCCAGCGAGGAAGGGTCATCAATTTACCTCGAACATGATTTGTTTCTTACTCAAAAAGTGAGCGAGCGGCTTTCCGAACGCATCGGCAAGCAATCCAATCTTGATGGCTAAGCTAATTGCCTTGTTGGTGTTTCTTGGAGCCCACTATTGGAGGTTAACCTTCATGTTTTGTTCTCCGCCCTCAAAACCTCAACACGGAGCTGCAAAGGTCATGTCGGGGCACCTCAACACTCCAGCATCCATGCGATTTAATCGAGATCATCGGCTCACGGACTTCCAAGCCTTCTAAGAAGTCTATTCCAGTGCACTCTAGCTCGCGGTCTCAGATCTCGAAGAGCTTCAAAGTCAAAACACATTCCAGTGCACTGAAAACCTTTTGAACCAGCACACCCCTTCACTCGCCCCCGACCGCGCGACTCGACCTCTCCGAAGCCGCCAGCCGCGGCGACGCCCGCGCCACTGCCTCTCCACGGCGTCAAGCCGCGCGGGCCGCGCTGGGTGGTGCATAGTCGGGGCGCTTGGGAGGTCGGCGGGTGACGGAGGAACGAGGAGAAGAGCTCCCAAGGATTTGACTTGTGTACTGTATCATGCATATTATATTGTATTATAAAGTATATTTGTATATATGTATATTACATATTATTACATATAGATGTAGAGGTTATCCATATAATGTCCATCTGTGTAGACTGTTGATGATTTTCAACCACTTCATGTGAAGAGATGTTGCATTCCATGTTGGGTGGGTTATTGATCTTGCCGAGTCTACATTATTGGTCTTGTTGATTCAGAAGTCTCGAGAGGTTTCAAAAAGCGGTCCGACCTAAAGGAGAACCTAGCTCGTTGGCAGAACAAACTAGTTGAGACAGTCCAGGATGTTTTGGTCAACATGGACCGCGATCACTTTCGGAGTTTGTGTTGATTATCTTTATGAGAGGAATATAATGAGGTCATCATTGACCGTTCAACAAGTTGTGTTCTGTAATATACATGTAATACACTGTATATTGTTTTGTCATTGTTGTTTTTCTGTTTATGCAATTTATGCCAGTCTTTCTGGGTGGGGAGGGGCGGAGGGGAGGCATCATTTGTTGTGCAGGGCTGACCTTCAATAGAAACAAGTGACGAGGCACCATGAGGCACCAACATTTATCGGGTAAATAATCGAGTTGACCGGGGATGGAGGGAAAACACATGTGGATGTTTATAGCTTCAGCATGCTTCAGCCGTGACAAAAGAGCCTCTATGGGATGACCTGGCAATCTAACATAATCTGACCAACATAGGCGGTGACATGTGATGCTCCCTGAAATGGTGAATTCCTCCAACTAGAAGGATCTACAGGATCTACAGGGAACATGTTGCATTTCTTTCAGGTTTTGATCAGCAATTCCAAGCAGCCCAATTTGCGCAGCTCACTTAAGCCGCTTGCTTAACGACTTGGGTCCAGAGTCCCTCAGAATGGAGAGTCCGAGGAGCCACGCTGAGGAAACCTCGTGGCCAAAACTTGAATACAGCGCCCCTTGGCGCCACGCCTGTTGCGACCTCACATGTTTTGCGACCTCATCCAGACAATGGCTACTTGACATCCGCGATGCGAAAGTGACTGATTCAAGTTCCTGAACCCATCTGTACACCATGCAGCCCAGCCGACGCTGCGGGGAACGAAATTCGGGCGAACGGGTCGGGAGTGCGCCGCGAAGAAAACGCGGCCGAAAGCGCGCGACGGCTACGCTGCTACGCGGCCCAAGAAACGGGCTTAGTATGTGTGGAAAGTACCAAGAAATTCTCAAATTGTATACGTGGTTCATCCATGTTTGGACTCCAAAAGAAATCGGTGAGTCGATCTGGGTTCAGCCGCCAGGTTTCTTCAGGTCCTCAAGCCGCCAGCAATCCAGAAACCAAGTGGCCGAGATTCAAACCTTGGAGGGTAGGAGATCGAACGGCCACAGTTTGTTGCGGTTCACCATGTTTCACCACTTTCACCCGGATCTTACGGAAACACCCTAAGAGAATGGTTAACTCTATATAACTCTATCATATTTGATCACATTTAAACCCAGACATCTTAGGAATGCCGGACGTGTACTTCAATCCTCAAGGCCTTGGTCAACATCCCCCACACCCAGCCAGCTCTCCTCCTCCCGTGGAACGACCGTCCCTCCCAACCCTCCCAAAACCTCGCTACTGCGTGCGGCTGCACCATGGCGACGGTGTGCTTTGAAGTGGAGTGCACTACAGTGCCGGGAGTTGCTCGGGCTTGTGAATGGAAGCCTTTTTTTTCATGGAGACTTCGAATACAAAGACTTTCACCAGGGCCTGACCAGGGCCTGACCGCGCATGTCGACATGGGATTTCAACCCGGACCCTGAAAGCGAATTCGCGGTTCACTTCCCCAATCTTTGAGACCTCTTTCAAGCCTGCAGAAGACTCTTCAATGTCATGTCATGTCAGTGCGACGTTCACTGCGTGACGATTTTCCTATGCATTTGCATTTGTTTGCATTTAGTTTGCATGTTTCAAGTTTTTTCTAAAGGTTTTGCATGTTTTATGCACTTGTGATATTTTTTTTCAGATGGATTGGATTTTTAGATGTATTTTGAGATTTTCAGTCTGGCAAACGATTTTGTAATTCCAAACCCTTTCCAAGTTAACCCGGTTGTTCTGAGATGTGTTGATATGCGTTTACGATTCACGACGTTTAAATATTTTGCACCGTTTCAAATTTGTTTGCCGATTTTAAAAGTTGTCTGATGATTTTAAACGGTTTCTGAATATTCTAAAAGATGTTAAACGATTGTTGAATGTTATTGTGGTTTCAACAAATATTATTGTAACTGATTGTTCTTGTTCTTGATTTTTCTTTTGAAAAAACAATGAGTGGTCTAGATCACTTCCCATTTGCACCACCACTTGAATTAGCGGCAGTGAAATATGTGGTATCCTTAGAAGCTTTATATCGATGTGTTCTTTTTGAGCAATTGAACCTAAGGAAATATCTTAGGGTGACCAAGGGGGTTGCGTTTGTTGATAGCAGAGCATGGCAGAGCATCACAACAGGTTTGCAATATTCAAGAAAGCCGAGTCTCATTCTGTGGTGTTTTCCTTATCACTGTCCTTTTGATGGTTAACTGTTTGCTGCGATTCTGATGGAATCAACAGAGGTCTTTCCGAGTCAACTAGAACCTTTTCTGCAAACGACAGGACTTGCATGTTCTGTCAAAAACGACAGCCACAAGCAGTGGCTACAGGGAGGAGCAACACTTGGTGTCGCTCACTCACGACGGTGAAAGTGTGGTCTCGTTGCACCCGACGGCTTCGCACGGTCACACCATTGAATGCATTGGTCAAATCACCGTTCGCATCGAACGCCAGGGTTGCTTTGTATTGTTTGTATGTTCACACGGCGGCTGCCGCTAAACATATACCTGAGTGACCCCTCTTCTGGGAGGATCAATTATCCAGAATGGATTACTGTACTTTTCATACCACAAAATATAGAGGTCAAATGGGTTCCATAGGTATACTTATCATATTATCGTTCATGTGGGGAAAGGCACAAGACTATTTGAAGACAATTGACACTGATCAGGGTCGGTAATAGTTGAGGGAGATCAATGCCAAAAGCAGATTGCTTACGAGATTTGTATATTACCACCATCATCCCTAGAGGGCATCGTTGATGTTACTGCTTACTGCACATACCCCACCCTTCAAAGACTATTAAAGAAAGGTTGACCTGGTGTCGTAGTCAAAATCCTCAGTAAAACAATGTTTTTGTTTTTTTTTTTCAAGTTTTCCATTGTGATCTCTTTTCAAACAAAAGGAACATGTCAGCTCTTCATCTCCAGCACAACAAACCTACGAGTCAGACGATTGCAGACCAAAAGAAAACACGCCTCTTCATCTTGGGCCTCCCACCGGCCGCTCGGCCTCGCGCCAAAAGCGCCTCGCGCGCGTCCGAACGCCGCGTCCGCGTCCACTGAGGAGTTGGTGGCGGTCTGTGGAAGCAGTGAAGCCTTGGGTTCCTGGACCGTGGAGAAGAGCCTCCAATTGGACGCCAGTGGCTGGGAGCGAAGCTGAGAAGAAGAAAGTTGGTCATGGCGGGATCTGGGTGTGAGGGAGACCTCCAAGCATGTTTTTGTTTTTGTTTGTTTCACTATTTCACGCTCTTCCCTTCTTCCAGGGTGTCTTGGGTGTCAGTCTCCCTGTTTCAATACACCAAACCTTCCGTGGAGGAGTGCAGCACACATCTCCCGACATCTCCCACCAAACCGAGCGCCCGAAACCGCATGTCCGCCACGTTGGCACACGCGGTGGCACAGCAGGAGTCATGGTGTTCCAATATGAGTCAAATAAAGGGAGATGAAATATGGAATCCTTAAGTGAGGTCCAACATCATAGAATCAAGACGAGTGAGTGAAATCGGAGATCATAGAAGTCACGGACTCTTGCGGAACCAAAGTTCCATATGCAACTCTTCGGTTGTTTCGTTTGCCAACAGCCTGTGTTTTGCTGTCACGTACGTAGTATATGCCTGCATGTATTGCCATAGCTATTCTCCAGTCTTAAGGTATTGCCTTTTTGCCCACACACGCTTGAAAAAGAACCGGTTGCGAACTCCAAGACGCCTGGAACTCCGAAGACGGGCAAACTCTTCTCTTCGGCTTGGCCGTTGACTAAGGTGACTATCCCGTTTGGAAGGGTCGGATTCTCGTGGAGCAACCTGCAGAGCCCCTTGGATGCAGGATGATGTAGGCAGGTCGTCCTGCTCATCGTCGGTCCGTATGCACCGAAACTGGATGGAGCTTTTGACGGGTCATGACTTATTAAGGGGATATTCATTACTTGGAATGCCAGTCTCCTGATGGAGAATGTTGTTTTTTGGGGGAACCCAAGTCTAGATCCTTGAAGCTTTTGCGACTCCAAACTGAGGCTGTTTTGTGCACTTTAAGTTTGGACACCAGGGACTTCAACCATACCATATGCGAATGCGCTCCGGGAAGGTTCTTCACTCCGTAGGTTCGACACCGCTGACCGCATAGGTTCTGGATGTGGATCAAGAAATGGTCTAAGAATCACATCATAGCCCTACGAGTCAAAGACCTCATTGTACTGGAGATGGCCATACAAAACCAATACTTAAGGAGGTAAAAGACCAGGCTTTTACTGGGTATTTGCATGCAGATGGTTCGCTATGACAGCAAGGCTAAGGGCAAAGGTGGAAAGAGTTCAACGGCAACATCCCCTGGGGCTCCAGCCACACCAGGAGGTCTTCTGAACTCCTCATTCACCGCAATCGTGGGCGGAAGGAATATGAGTCCGATTGCCGGGAATGTGAGGTGGCTCCTGCCATCGTCATGGGGATTCCTGTCTATGCACGGACGAACTCTCTCTTCACCGCCAGGTCGAAGCAACATCAGACCCACATCAGCTCGACTCTCAGCATCCTCTACGACCTATCGGTCTGGAATCATTATAATGGAGTAGAAATCCCTTCGAATGCTGT